ATTATATTATTTATTACTTGACGTGATAAATGATACGATTAAAAAACATAGCAGTTATCAATAAATAATCTGTTTAACCATATTGTTACTAAAATTTATAAATTCTGTCTTAAAAGTCTTTAAAATGTAAATTTTTAGCAATTTTTCTAATTTTACCAGTAACTTTATTTATGAATTTATTCCGGTGCTAAATTGAAAAAAATATGCATAGTTAAAATTTTTTCTTTGTATAAAATTTAAACAAATATTTACACTTAGTTGTACTCAATTTGATAGGTAATAGATCACTGATCCGAATACTGATAGATATATGCTTAATATAACACAACTTGTTTATACGTATCAAAATTTTCACCAATCATATGTCTTCGATATGTTCTGTTCTTTTCAGAAAACTCACGTGTTAAACTTATGGTATATTTATAGAAGATTGTATAGAGTAACGAGATCATTAAGCTGATCGAATTACTATAAAATGTTTGTTACCAACTATATATTGTGTATTATCCATATGCAGAAAGGGAACTGATACATTGTATTCACATGGTATCATGCGTTTTTCTTGGAAGCCAAGGTTTATTATATATGTTGTTATTCTTATCATTAAATTAAATGAGCATTATTTTTTATTTTAAATCTTATCATTCTACCGTTTAACGTTGCCTATAATGTGGTGATACTACAATGAGGGGTCCATAAGAAGGATTTTGCAAGGAGTTATTATATACTGCGTGATTTCTAAACTTTCAAAACTTTCAAATTATTTTAGTACATATTTATGTTTTGTTCCTGTTTGCGGATTATACCGATACACTTAGTATCAAAAATCATAACTATACTTCCCATATATGTATGTAGATGTGTATATATTAACACGTAATTATTATTACATATATGTAAATAAATTTCGGATATTAACAGTTCTTTGTACTGTATCATTCATTAGTTATTAAAAATAGCTGTCCGGAATTCAAACTGCTAAAATATCATTGGTATTCAAATGCTAAATCCCCGGATAATTAAGTTATAGTTAGATCACTTTTTTATTTGTCACTCAAAAATATGTTTTCTTCTTTTTGGAACATTGCATTGTCAATAGATGATGTACTTGCAGTTGACTATAAATGTAAAGAGTTTATCTATCACACTTGTTAAAGTATGTACAAATTTGTCAATGTGAGTACGTACGTGATTGTATAATTATTAATACTTATATCATCAAACCCCTCTAAAAATCAAAATCAATTTCTCTTTCTTTGAATGTGATCTTAAAATTTTGTTCGCTTTAATTCATTGCTATCTTATCATACAGATTATTATCATTCAAATTATTTAGTTGAGTTTTCGTAATTTAAAGAGATTTTTTTAAAAATTTTAAAAAGATTTTTAAAAGATTTTTAAAAGGGATTCGTATTTATAAATAACTTAATGTATCGCTCATCATCACCCAATGGTGCTTCGTCTAATAGTGGCCAAAGTGCTACCTACCCTATTGACAGTTCTAAAAATCGCCCTTCATCAAATTCTTTTATCAAAGCTCATAAAAACATATCTTTCTCCTTTTCTGAAAATTCTACCACTTTTCAACACGGTGCTCTTGGCGATTATGATACCTTTCTAGTTGGAACCCTTCATTTAAATTATCCAAAAGCTTGCTCTATAAAAAATGTAATCCTAAAATTTAAGGGAATTGAGAAAACTTATTGGACTAAAGCTCAGGCTAGAACAAAAGTTGTTTATACCGGTGAATATACATTTGTCGACCAATCAAATAAGATATGGGAAGCTTTCGAAGATTCTGCTGAAATTCAATCTCTTGATATTCCTTTCAAGGTTCAACTTCCTTACAATTTGCCAGAATCTATAAATACTGATTTAGGTTCTGTTCGTTACGTCCTTTGTGCTACTGTTAATGTTAAAGGTTTGTTGGGAAAGAGCTCTCATGTTGCAAAGTTACTTTGTCCTCTAAAGCGCATTTTTACTTTGGATCATACTTTATCATCTCCTTACAAAATTTGTGGTGAATCACAAAGTGGAATTGAATATACTTTTATGTTACCTCCGGGTAAACAATTAAATATCGGTAGTTTCGTTTCTATTCCAATGATGTTACGTTTCTTACGACCTGATGTTGGTATAGAAAGAATTGAAGTTTCTTTAAAGACTTCTATGGACTTTAAATGTTCTGATCACAATGAAAAACGACATTTAGATCAACAGATCGCTGGACTGGTTATCTCGCGTTCTGAACTTCGTTATATGCAGTCTTCAATGCCACATTATAATTATGGTGAATGTACTCACACTATCAACCTATTTATTCCTCTCTCCGTTCAACCAACTTTTCAAGGAAGGTTCATTAGTATAGCTCATAAATTATCAGTAAATGTTAGTCTTTACGGTTGTGTAAAGGGTTTTATTATTGAAGAACAGGTTAAGATTTCTAATATAGTTGAAAAGAATACTCCCTCTAAACGTCCTTATTCACCTTTGTCAACTGATCGTATGCCAAGTCCTATTATGGCTTATCCTGAAGGTGTTCCAAGTGATTATTCTCAATCGCATGATTCTTTTGATCAGAGTTCTGGTTCTTTCACTTATCAATCTCATATGGTGAATCAAGTTCGTCAGCAATGTAGTCTTCCCGAATTACCACAAGGCATTCTCGTTGATGATCATTATCAAGGACCATTTCATTCATCTTTTGAATATAGTCGAAATTCACCTTTTGACATTAATAGTGGTTATAACCGTATATATGATGGTTATAACGTACAATCATCATCAGATACGTCAAGTCATATTTATCAACCACATAGTTCTTCTCAACAATCTCGTTCTGAAAGTTCTGAAACGCCACAAACGCCTCCAAATGGTTATTCTGCAACTACTTCTCTATTTCATTTGAATTAATAATAACAAAAACCAAAGTTTGGTTTCCAAAACCCGTCAAATTTATTAAAATCAATGCTATAAATTTATTAAAATTTCATTGCCATTTTCAAATTAGTGGTTTAATGACTAAGTAGGATTGTTAAATAATTTGATATGTTAAATATAATAATTCTATCAGAAATGTATAAAATAATTATAAATAGCGAAAGTTTTTCATATAAAAAATAAAACTTTGAATCATATAAATAATAACTTTTTTCAATCAAGTTTTCTTCAAAACTCGAGATGTGCCTAACAATTTTTTAGAAAAGTAAAAATCCTTTGAATCCTTATTAGTTATTTTAATGTTAATTGATGAATGAATTATTCGTAATCATGATCCAGTTCTCATTCCCAAACAATGAAGAGATTCATCCGCAAGATAATTGAAGTTATTATAAAATTCTTAGTAAAAACCTATAAAAAAAGCAAGAGAGCTATTGAGTCAATCTTACCGATCCGATCGAAACATATCAGCTTTTTAATATTGGTTACAATACCAACCGATTATCCGGTTATGGTCTAATCTGTTCAAATCACCAATGAGTAAAGTTGTTATCGGCCTGGATGACTTTTAAATTTATGGCTTCAGCTTTAGCCATAGCTTTAATAGTTGTTATGGCTCAAAGCCATAGCTCTAATAGTCGACTCTAATTGTCATGGCTCAAGTCATAGTCATGACTGGAATGTGACTTTCTAATAGTTTTAAAAAATTACCTATGTATCATGTAATAATATGAAAATATCGAATCACAGCTTATGATTCAAGACATAGCTTATGATTCAAAGACATAGCTTAAGCCGCGTAACTTAAGCTACGGCTCGGTTCAATATTACAGCCGTCGGGTTAAAGCAAGCCGATACTATATAATATATATAATGACATCTCTACTATATGTATGTTATGAAACATCACTTCGTTATTCGTAGATATCACTATATGGGTAATTGTTTTTACCAATTTTATATTTATGATGTTTAATGACATTTTGGTCTGGACTCAAATCATCACCCATTATAGTTATTATTAAATTACGTAAAAATCTTCGTAAAATCTACGTAAAAGATACGTACGTAATTGTACTTCAATAACGTATCGGTATTATAAATGCACCTGCTAATGACTTAACCGATTGACGATCGACTACGATCACTAGCACCTATTATTATGATCAATACCTTTTTTATATTGATTGATAAGATTTGGTTCTAGTATTAGAAGTTAAGGACTATAATAAGTCTAGGTAATAATTTTTTGGGGGCGTCTAGTATTTTTATTTCAATCAGTTTCAACTATGATGTTTAATACATGTTTATAGATCCATACTATTTTCATTGATTGTAATAATTTTTCTTAAATGAAAAAGTAATATATAAAAATGTCGCTTAACAAGAAGAATAAGTATTTTAAAGAATTTCAATTATGTTGATACTGTATGAAGGATCATTTAAAAAATAACTGATTCTTTGCAGTGATTAGTAAAGTGCACCCTGCTTGTCACTACATTGCATAAACCTAATTGTAGAACACCAAACCTTACACATTTTCCTGAACGCGCTCTTTTAAATAGATAAATAACCACTTTTTTGAAAAAGTTACCCCATAAATACTATTATTTGGGATTTTTGCATAATTCCAAACTAGCAAGTTTGGGTCGCAACTTTATTAATCGACAAATACGTACGTACTTAGATAATATCGATCCTAATATTTTTCCATTGGGAATCAATATCTACCAAATGCTTCTTTATTTAACTCCATACTATCGCCATACAGTACCTCAGCAAATCAAACATTATCATTTAGATCATCAAATTTTAATGATTATTTGGATGCGAGCTTATTAAAACAAATAGTTTCATCAATAAACCATGTTCATTTACATCGATATTTGTATAAGATCTGTTGTTACGTACAGTACGTACGTACGTATTGCAAATCATCAAAAAAGAGTTAGACTTGGATATTATGTAACACTTTATAAATGATATAATAGCTTAATAATTTATTTAATATATTTATCGAACCTTATAGATTTGTTTTTTTATTACGTAGTTTTAAAATGCCTAGTGGATGTTCTATAGAATAAGTGAGCAAACTCCGCAAACTCCGCAACTCCGATATTAAAAAATTAATGATTACAAATCATTAGCGAAGCTTATTTCTCATATTGCCCACCTATTCTATAGAATATC